AAAAAAATGCTGTATTTCACGATTGCATGCAACGGTCAGTAAGCAAATACATGTAAAGAAACAGAATCATTAAGGCTCGGCTAGTTCACAAGGCAAAAGAAAAAAACACTTACCAGTTATGAAAGTTTACGAACCCTGAACTTGCAACACAAACACAAAAGAACCGCTAGATTTAAATCAGCACAGCCAGCGAAGGATCGAACGCAACTGTTTGGAACGAGCACACCTTTTATTAACAACCAAAAAGTTTTGTTGTCTGTTGCGGAAGTACAGACGTTCTTCTCGTTGATAGCAGAGGAGCGGATCAAGCGAGAGCTTGATGGGGCGATGCGGAATGAGGAAAAAAATTTTTTTAACAACCAAATAGTTTTGTTGTCTGTTGCGGAAGAACAGATGTTCCTCTCATTGATAGCAGAGGAGCGATCCAGCGAGAGCTTGATTGGGCGACGCAGAATGAAAAATTTTTTTTTAGGAGTCATGGTAGTAGATGCGGCGCAACTATAACAACGTGAATAATCCCGCCCACTCTAAAGCGGTACTGAACTGCAGTGGAGACGCAAACTGTGCCGAGCCGAACCATGCCGTGCCGTACTGAGCCGTACCAAGCCGAATCGTACCACGCAGTGGAAAAGCGCCATATGCTTACTGGCCATCAGTCCAGGGTGTTTCCCTGCCTTCGGACCAAGAAGAGAGGATAGGTTCCAACTAGAAAAATACAATAAGAATAATTTTTGAGTAATAAAAAGAAATAAGAAAACAAAAATAATTAACTATGTATGTCAAGTACATACTCTGATTGTCAGACATACAGCATTCACACTGATAGCTGGTCATACAGTCAGTAATCACATGCTGATGCCCGGTCATACAGATGGTAATCATCAGTGTTGGGAGTAAAACATTACAAAAGTAATAATATTACAGTAGTATATTACGTTTTGCTGCAACGCAGTAATATAACGCATTACTAATACAATTTGGGTAATATTATTACTCATTACAATCTCAGTAATGCAAGTTACAACAACATATTTTAACTGTCAATTAAGTGGTGAATTTACCAACACCGCAAAACAGCACCAGAGAAAAAAAATCCGCGGGTAAACTAGTTTGTCTATCTTCTGTTGCTGGAATTAGTTGATTGAGATGACTGCAGAGACAAATTCTACATTTGTGAGATGGACACACTCCTGTTATTTTCATTTTATCGGAGAAAAGGATAAGAATGCTTAGCTATATGTGCGACACCAAACTCTCAAAATGGAGAAATAGCACGAGTAAAACCTGGAAACACCTGGACTGGTGCCACTAACACTAAGCTATCGGAGAGAGAGCTGCAGGGTCGGAGAAGAGGAAAAAGGTGGCGGACGAGCGCAGACAAGCAACACAAATTAAGTTTAACTAAAAATAACAAAATCTGTTTTTGTTAAATCATAGTCTATATGTAAAATGAATGAATATGCAAAATATTTTACTTAAAAAGCCTAATTAACAGATTAACAAAACGAAAGGAAAAGACTGAGAGATATGCTGCTGACTTTGGTCCACGGAAAGGAAACCGAGGTGACAGAAATAAAAGTAAACACATTGCAGTTTCGAATGATCTGTATGGCCAAAGATGACAGAATATTTTTTTGTTGTTTGTTTCCGCTGTTCGATTGCGCCGGCGCCTCACGCACACACAGCATTGCAAACTTTGCAGCCTGTTCATTATCAGAATAAAATACAGTCAACCAAACATATAGATACACTGGTTAATTTAAATAGTGATTAACCTATCACTATAGTGAAATAGTGATAACCTCCCTGTGCTGTGATGCATCCTATCATGTGTCTATGATAGCCAGAGATATTGTCAAAACAAAGCATCAAAAATTGGCAATATTAATAACAGGATTTAGCATTTCCAATTAATGTAGGCATGTTGCATTTGTTACGGGGCTGACGAGATGTGAGACGTACGCATCCATGTGCAAAGCTTTATTAACAGACATTGTTAAAGACAGGCAAGGGTCAGACAATGGCAACAGGTATATAGAGGGCAAGACACAAGAATAATCCTAGGGCTAGCGTGGGTCAACGATCCGCGAACAGAATTAACAGGGCGAGACTAGAGGGATAAATCCAGGTACACAGGCAAAGATCAGAAACCGAGAAAACAGACAAGACAAGGCAAGACTAAGACTAAGACTAAGACTAAGACTAAGACTAAGACACTAAAGCAGGCTCCGTAACGTAGCTATCTCAACTAGCAATATGCGCATACAATACTCGGCAGCTTGACAGGGATAAGAGTGAGTGTTATATAGGAAAGGTGAGATTGATGACAGCTGTGTGCAATTAGTGATGTGTGCAATCAACTGTGTGTGTGTAATCAGTGCAATGGATGATGGGAACTGTAGTCCGGGTGAAGTGCAACAGTGGTGTGGTGCAAGAGTCCATAGTAGTGGAAGGGTGACCTCTGGTGGCGAGCAGACGGAAGTTCATGGACCGGATTCGTGACAACATTCTTCTTAATATTAGGCCTATTATTATTATTAGGTTACTTTTATTATTAAATTACATTCAATTATTGCGTCACAATAATTTCATAGCGCATTACCTTATGGCGTGCTGTGAGGATAATAAAAAATTTGGCTATTAGCTTATAGGCTACTCCTCATTGAAAATATATTTTTAAAGTTTTTTTTAAACAGGTCTATTAATTTATACAATTGAATTATAGGCCTATAATTAAAATGATTAACACTGCAGTCATCAATGAAAATTAAGAGCAGATTTATTTCGCTCACAGGTTTTCAAAAACAACCTGTTTAATGCGAAATACGTTTCTTCTCATGTTTTTCACTATACGGGCCACAAGAGAAATATTAAGGGAATAATTTAAGACAGTTATATATCATCAGCCTATATTGAAGTAATTTTGTCTCTTGTTGTCTCAGAGAATATGCACCGTTAATGAAGCGTTAGAAAGCTCAGTCAGTTTTTTTTTACTTTCACTTTCTCTATAGTGAATTGACTGACGTTCACCGGCATAACTCTTGCGAACAGTTTTTGCTGGTTGCTTGCTTGTAAGTTGCTTGACCCCTCCCCCATAATATCAATCGTTTATAGGCCACATATTAGGCAATTGTTTTTATGTTTCTTTTTTTAATGTTAATGAAAGTGACACCAAAAATAAGGGAACATCATTAAGAAATCCTTGGGGGAGCTGTGCCGGGGCTAAGCAAGTTTCTGATGGGCCCCGTCAAGCCTCGCCCTAGCGCCGCCACTGATTAGCCTAATTCGTTTTGGCTTGTTTAGCAATTATTTTCATTCTTGTTTTCTTCTGAAACTGTTCAAAATTGCCTATAGGCTAGGTATTGTGTTTATTGTTTGTACATTATAACATTTCGCTTTATTTACCGGTGTTATTTATAAATGTAATAATGCGGTTTCTGCTTATCTGTGTTTAACATAAACTACAACGTAACATTAATGTAGACCTACATACCGGCATCTAAATCTGATTTTATAATTTTATGCTATATAGACCTACCACATTACCCTCCACTGGGTGTAGAATGAGCAGCAATAAACTACATTTTTGGCATTTTATAAAACTTCTGTGGATATTTTGCTGAAAGTAACTCAAAAGTAGTGTAACGCATTACAATTCAGAGACAGTAATATTGTAATGAAACAAATTACTTTCAAAAGATAGTAACTAGTAATATATAATGTATTACATTTTGGAAGTAACTTGCCCAACACTGGTAATCATACAGATGGCCAGCCATACAGTCAATAATCCAACTCTAGTGGCCGTTCATATAGACCGCATTCACACTGATAGCTGTCATACAGAGAGTAATCACATGCTGATGTTCAGTCATACAGATGGTAATCATGCAGATACAGCCACATTCCCCACAAAAAACACACACATATATGAAAAATGCTGAAGGAGAAGAAGAAAAAAAGAATTATTTGTGCAAAAAGCCAATCGGTAAGTTACGCCCCTATCAGATGGCAGGTGCGTCACAGCACGCATCACAAGCTGTCACAAGAGAGCACCAGAATTTAAATAAAACAATATTCTGCGTATCTTTGACTTTTATTTTAGTGGATGGTCTCATTCTGTTTTTGACACTGTTTTTGCTACAAAATCATGTTGCTTTTTACTACTGTTATGTATCCGGTCCATGAACTTCCGTCTGCTAGCCATCAGAGGTCACCCTTTCCATTTTCATTGACTCTCACACTACACACTGTTGCATATCACCCCGGACTACATATCCCATCATTCATTGCACTGATTGCACACAGCACTGATTGCACACAGCTGTTTCACTGATTGCACACAGCTGTCTCATATAACTCACTCACTATTTAACACTCACTCTGATCCCTTCCCTCTGCCGAGTATTGTTTTGTGCTTATCTTTTGATAGCTACACTACAGAGCCCTCGTTAGTTTACCCTGCCTTAACCTAGCCTAGTCCTGCCTTGTCTGTTTTCTTGGTTTTTGATCTGTGCCTGTTTTCCTGGATTTATCCCTTTAGTCTCGCCCTTGTGATCCTGTTCGCCAATCGTTGACCTTCACTAGCCCTAAGACTATTCATGTGTCTTGCCCACCATATACCTGTTTGCCACCGTTCGACCCTGCCTGTGTTTCTGACCTCCTCTCATGTTAATAAAGCTTGCATATGGATCTGCACGTCTCACGTCTTGTCAGCCCCGTTACAGAATACTCGGCCAAACAAGGATCCAACGGATTTTCCAAAGGACATTGGCCAGGTATGGACACGGCAATAATTTTATTAGCCCTTAAACAGGGTCCCCGATCTTTGGAGAACCATATTCGAGAGTTTTTAGCCATCGCTCACTATTCTGATTTACCAGACTGTTTATTGATTGAGTTTTTCTGCGATGGAATAAATCAACCTCTTAAGTCTAAACTCGCGTGAGGGTCCACGTTCATCACTCACTCAGTTAATGGATTATGCCTTGTTGACAGTTGGATCTTTGTTTACTGTGGGTATCACGGAGGAAGAACACGACACAGTGTCTATGACTGAAGTGGCGGCTGTACCAGAGCACACTCACAAAATGGCAGTGACAGCGGAGCCTGATCGCAAAATGGTGGACACAACAGCACCCCGTTATGTCACAGCTGCCCATCTTGAGTCCAGTCAAGTCACAGTTGATCATCATGAGTCAGGTCAAGTCACAGTTCGTGATTATGAGTCTAGTCAAGTCACAACAGATCTTCCTGAGTCGAGTCTAGTCACAGTTGATTGTCATGAGTCAAATCGAGTCGCCGTTTATTATCATGAGTCTGGTCAAGTCACAGCTGATATTCATGAGTCTAGTCAAGTCACAACTGATCGTCATGAGTCAAGTCAAGTCACAGTTGATCGTCATGAGTCAAGTCTAGTCACAGCTGATCTTCATGAGTCGGGTCAAGTCACAGCTGATCTTCATGAGCCAAGTCAAGTCTCAGCTGATCTTCATGAGTCTAGTCAAGTTTCAACTGATCTGCCAGAGCCTTGTCACATCTCAGCTGTTCATCCAGAGCCTCGTCACGTCTCAGCTGTTCGTTCAGAGTCACATCACGTCTCAGCTATTCATCCAGAATCACGACGCATCACAGCTGATCATCCAGAGTCATGTCACGTCCTGTCTGTTACACCCAGAGTATCAAGGTCAGTTCTTCAGTATCCCAGACTGGCTTCCAGCGTGGAGGACCCACCGCTGGTGTCGGCACGGGCAGCTGGCATCCCTAAACCAGCGCTCTCAAGCCTTCCAGTTTCTGAACTATTTCCCTTGTCTGTAGCGCTTCCCACAATGGGGGTCGCTTTATGGTGCATCTGGGCCGCATACTTCACCGCCGATTTGCTAGAAGCAGCGGCACCAGCTACAACATCTCCAGAGGTGGCAGCTTACACTGCAGAACCTCCCGAGGTAGCGGTGTCCGCTGCTGTGCTCCGAGAGGCCAGGGTACCCACTGCAGTCTCTTCAGAGGTGGCGGCACATGCTGCTGAACCTCCTGAAATGGCGGTGCTCGCTTCAGCTCCTTGTGTGGTGGTGGTACCCAGCAACGCACTGTCAGCCTGTCCTGTTCCGGCCAAGGAGGCCGCCTATGAACTCTCTGCTTGTCCTATTCCGACCAAGGAGGCCGCCTATGAACTCTCTGCCTGTTCTGTTCCGGCCAATGGGGCCGTCTATGAACTCTCTGCTTGTCCTGTTCCGGCCAAGGAGGCCG